CTTCCTCTTCTTCTCCTTCCTCCTCCTTCTTCCTCCTCCTCCCTCTCCTCCTGCAACTCCTCCAGCTCAATTTGCTGCTGCAGCTCCATTTGCTGCTACTTCTGTTCCATTTGCTGTGCTGCTGCTGCTGTTGCTGCTGCTGCTGCTGCTGCTGCTGCTGCTGCTGCTGCATGCATGCAAGAAAATGAATAATATACCTATACAATCATTACGTTTATTGATTTCTTTGCCAATAAAAAAAGAAAAAATAAATAATTGTATAGATATAGATGATGTAGTTATAAGGAAAAAAAAAAAAAAAATAATTTTTTTTTATATAATAATAATAATAATAAAGGTGCCTATACACCTGAATTAAATAATAATAATAATAATAATATATATAATAATTCAGGTGTACAGGGAGAAAAGGATGAAGAAAAAGAAGAAAAAGAAGAAAAAGTAATAAAAGGTCTTGTTATAAGAACACCAAGAGGTATACAAGATTTCTCTCAAGATCAAGATCCAGGTACAGCCCCAATTATGCATGCATGCATGCATGCATGCATGTATGCATGCAAGGAAACATATATATATGTATGTATGTATGCATATATGTATGCATGCAATATAAGGATCTATACATGCATGCATGTATGCATGCATGCATGCATGCATGCAGTGATGGGGCTTTTTTATTGTGTATGGATATCTTTTTTGCGTCTTTAATTTGCTGCATCTACTCCTCCATTTGCTGCTGCTGCTGCTCCATTATGTACTGCTGCTGCTGCTGCTGCTGCTGCTGCTGCTGCTGCTGCTGCTGCTGTTGTACAGATAATATGGATCCTTTATCTGAAGAAGTACAAGTTGCATGGGAGGATGGGACTGTTGCCAATGAGCCAACTAATTCACTACAATTAGGTGGGGCTTTTTTTCTTCTGCATGCATGCATGCATGAATGCATGCATGCATGCATGTATAGATACATATATACAGTTCTTTTAGGGTTTTATCTGTTTTTAACACAACCTCTATCTGCATACATAACATAAAAAAAATTAGGGTTTAGGGTTTAGGGTTTAGGGTTTAGGGTTTAGGGTTTAGGGTTAGTGTGTGTGTGTATGTACAGTGGATAGGACATTTTATCCTGGTGATTTAGTAATGCATGCAAAGGATGGGGCTTTGGGTATGGTTATAGAGGTGCAGCAAGTAATAGATGTAGCCTTCCCTATAGAGGCACTGCAGCGGGAGCAGCAGCAGCGTAAGCAGCAGCAGCAGCAGCGTAAGCAGCAGCAGCAGCAGCAGCAGCAACAGCAGCAGCAGCAGCAGCAGCAGCAGCAGCAGGGTCAACCCCCACCCTCTCCCGCACGCCCATCACCGCCTCCCCAACAACAACAACAACAACAGCATCAGCAGCAGCAGCAGCAGCAGCAGCAGGAGCAGCAGCAACAGGAGGAGGAGGAGGAGGAATTAAATATACCTGCATATATAAAGGGTATAAATTGTAGATGTTTAGGTCCTAATTATTTATCTTCTTTTCCTCCATTAATACAACAAATACATCAATATACACAAGGTATACCTGTTATACAACAAGGAAATATTGGTTGTATTATTAACAGCAAAATAGATTATATTATTTCTCTAAATTCTAATCATCAATTCCTTCTACAAGATGGGTACGCTCTTCTTCTTCTTTTCTAGGGTTTAGGGTTTAGGGTTTAGGGTTTAGGGTTTAGGGTTTTTCTAGGGTTTAGCGTTTTTTTAGGGTTTGGGGTTTAGAGGTTGTTATTGATAGTAAAAGGGATTATATTACTTCTCTTGGCTCTAATTATTAAGTCCTTCTTGTACACTATTAGGGTTTAGGGTTTAGGGTTTAGGGTTTAGGGTTTGGGATTAGGGTTTAGGGTTTAGAGGCTAATACAAGAATTAGCATAAAGTATTAATATAAATATTTGTATATATAGATATTAACCTACATAATATAATATTTATAAATAAATAAATAAATAAATAAAGATAAATAAATAAATAAATAAATAAATAAATAAATAAATATATTTATTTATTTATTTATTGTATAGGCAAACAGGTGTCCGTGCTGAGCCAAGAAGAGGACATCCAATGAGTTGGATAGGAGGACTTTATCCTTCTCTTCCTGTATATTTAACAGGAGAATGTATACAATCCCTGCAGCAGCAACTGCAGCAGCAGCAGCAGCAGCAGCAGCAGCAGCAGCAAATGCAGCAGCAGCAGCAAGGGCAGCAGCAAGGGGGAAATAATACAGATACTGTGCATACAGGAGGACTTAGTAGAGGTACGTATACATATATACATATATAAATAAATATTAATATAAATAAATAAATAAATATATAAATAAATAAATATAAATAAATATAAGTAAATATGTATATATGTATATATGTATATATGTATATGTATATATGCATATATGTATATATGTATATATGTATATGTGTATATGTATAACACAATAATATATATATATATATTATAT